TAGCGAGCCCGTTCGGTATCCGCTCGCGAGCCCAGTGCCGCCGCCGGCGCAGCTGCAACGTTGACAGCATGCGATCATTCGACTAACTGCGGCTGATAGCAAGACCATGAACCGTTCACCGGTTCACCGGGGGCCGAATCTGCTTATCCTCGGCCGAAATTCGTCCAAGTCGCGCAAAAGTCAATCGATATCGCGCCACTTGTGCCAGCTGCTGCTGCGCCGGCACGTGGCCACCAGGGAAAATCCTTCCGCTAATTGACTGGAAACTTGAAAGCTGCAGCAGTTCGCTGCTGCCCGAGCGCCGGTGGCCCGCTGGCAGCTCTTACTCAATTGTCGGCTCTCTCGGTCGCGTCATTTTTCGCCGTTATTTTTCGCCGTCATTTTTCGCCGTCATTTTTCGCCGTCATTTTTCGCCGACGGCCCAGAGCAAACATGGCACCTTGCGCGCCCGCCCGAAACTCGCCGGGCAGATTGCTCCCCGGTTCGCGCAGAGCAGTTTGCTGCTTGCGCGCCACTCGACAAAGTCGACGATGCTTCGCCCCAGGAAAACCACCTTCGATTGCGTTTTCTCATTGCGCTTGAAAATAAGGTGTACGCCACTCCTTTTTTCGCTGACTGGTGTCGCGGCGATCTATTCAGGAAAGCTATTATTGGATGGAGGCTTCGTAAACGTGAAAGCTTTCTTTTCTTAGTCGAGCAATCATATTTTCCATTTGGAAATGAATGTGGGTCGTCGAACGATCGTATATTAGTACATCAGCTCCCAAGTATGAAGGTGAAAAAGCGAGCGGTTATTGCTGTGCAACTTCGATAGCTTCCAACTAAGCTCCCTCCTATAAACGCCTAAATCAGCGCAGGTGGGCTTCTCTGCCTCGGCACGATGATGCACGAGCGTATGGTAAACCGCGCGCTCGCCCCACCCCCTGCCAGCCGTCATCCTGCTTCCCACGCTAATCCATACTAATTGCCATTCGCCTTTCGACGAGCTGCTGCTGCACAAAAAACAACGTAGTGAGAAATTCATCCAATCGTCGATTTATAGAGGCGTTGCCACAGGCGCACAACTTGATAAGCAATTATTCCTTAGCTGAAATAAGAACCGGAATGTCTGGTCGATTTGCCTTTTTTTAATTTTCGCGAGAATTAACATGGAGGGGGGGGGGATAATAACATCGAAATTATGATTGTCGCGAGATAAGAAGCGTAGGCAGCGAGTGGAATTACGCCAGCAGGTGTGTAAACGGCTACGACGACAGGTGCCTGGTATATGCATCGCGCTCGTGAAAAAGGGAAGCCTTGTGTGCACGCGTGTCTCAAGTGCACGCCACGCGCGTGTGAGTGTGTTTGTTGAGCGTTGTAAATTTATCTTTAAATATACATAGGCATAAGCGCCTTCATGCTTTCGCCTGTGAAACTTTACAACGGAATTCTCTTCCCTCTTTTTCACTAGCAAATACTTTCTTCTTTTCCATTAGCAAGGTACGCAGACCTACCGAGAGATGCGATATCGGCCTTTTGCCTTTGATCAGTTGCCATCCTCTTTTTTTGCCACGCTCTCTATCGCGCTCGTTTCCATTTCTCCGAGAATTTCGCGGAAGGCCTTTGAGAGGCGCACGCGTCCTTGGGCGCGACGATGATGCACAAAAGATCAGCGGCCCTTTCTTTCGCGCGAATTTCTACTATTGGCCTAATTATTTCTCGTTTGCAATTTCATTTTGCTCGTTTTCGATTAGATATCAGTCCACTTTCTTCGTTCATCAACCTTTTCATGCTGACTGTTACTGCGCCACTCTTTCAGAGTATTGGCTGCGCGCCACTGATCTCGCCTTTTCGTCGGACCTAACTCGGACGTAACTACTGGCTGCGCCACGGTAGTGGCGCTTGCTCGCTCGTTCTGGTAAACGTTCTTCGTTGCGAACACCTCTCTCTCTCTCTCTCTCTCTTTCTCTCTCTATCTTTCTCTCTCACTAACCTCCATTTGCGCAACCGGAAAATAGACTTTTATGTTTTTAAGCGTGATTACCGTTTTCCTTTTGGCTTTTTTTTCCGCTTTTCAATGCGCTTTGAAACTGGGTTTGCCGGGCATTTTGAATTGATTTTCGAACAGCCGTGCATTTGGACTAATCAGGAATCATGCATTGGCAAATGTTGCTATCCGTAGCAAGGGTATTTGTAGCAAAAGAAAAAGCAATACGGCGAGATGTGTCGATTACTATGCATAGCGTCGCGCGCCTCACCAAGAAATCGAAGCCATTAGCACTTGCACAAACAGTCGCGAGGAAAAAGACGATGCTAAGTAAGAGCCTCGAAAGGAGAGGGAGGGAAGAGTAGGAGCCTCGATAAAAAGGCATCTTACATCGCTTTTCCCTTTCTATATCTTCCAGCTGGTCGCGCAACTCGCACTCGCACTCGCGCGCCGTTTTTACTCTGCTCTGGCAAGCCCAACCCGAACCCAACCCAACCCAAGCCAACCCTCGATTTTTCCATTTCGCGAGTGAGAGGGAGAGCCTCTTATCGATTCACGTCTCGATGCACCCAGTCAATCGGTTTTTCTTTCTCCGAGCCAATGCCTGAGAGAAAAATTTCTTTCTTCGGCGACCTTCGCGATTAAAATTGAATAATAGATCGGAACCTTCTCTCCGATGTATTTTGTCCTGTTGCCAACTGCTATACCGTCCAGTGACATCGCGCATTTCGATTGGCTCTATGGGCGGCAGCGCTCTGTGGCCAGGCGTCCAGATTTCTTTCTCGCCGTTCGCCCTTCAGTGCCCAAAGTCCAATGCCCAATCAAACGCGATTCCTGGTGATTGACAATAATATACTGAACGGAGCAGCGATGCGAGGCAGGCGCGCGCACCCAAGTGCCAATCAAGTAAAGTCCAGCTGTGCCGCTTTAATTAAAATCCACTTCGTTAATTATAAGATAAATGGTGTATAGCGCCAATGACAGGCAGGCGACGCCAATAACCATCCAGGCTGTATCCACGAAAAAATCAACGTCATCCCCACGATTACGATCGTTTCTCCGAGCAGGCAATTCATCATCGCTTAATACCAAGTAACAGAGCAGCTCGCGCGAAGCCAAGTGGCGCTTAGTTGTTCACCAGAAACCACGTGCCATCGCACCCTCACATAGACATCAATTTACAATATGTTTGGTCAAGCAAACTGCAACGAAACTAATTCAATGAGACAATATGCTTTTACGTATTGGCAGAGTTGAGCGGCTTTTCCGACGATGAATAATCGTATGTTTCAAGAATATAGACGCAGCCCCCGAAAAAGGAGAAGCGATTTTCGCGTATATTTCGCAATATCATCGAGCTGAAATATCCAATCGCAAGCTCTCGACTGCGGGCTTTCGTTCCGTCGTGCGCGAAATGGCGCGAAAAAAACTCGAGGGTCCGGCTGACCACGTGAATAAGTGCACGGCAATGATACTCTCATCGACAATTTCAGTCAAACTCTTTCTGATATTGTTGCCGCTCTGCTCATTTTTCTTACGTACTTTCTCGCGCCCATGGAGTATTGATGCTATATATACGTTTTGTTTGCGCCTCGTCACTCTACCTAACGATGAGTTATATTTCTCGAGGGTTGTGCTCCGCTCGAGCTTTCCACTGGTAGCCATAAATTAAGCTTCTCACGTATTCGTAGCGCCCGTTCTTCAGTTACTTTTCTGGTTACAGCAGCAGCATACTGCTAACAAAGACCTGCTGCCAATCTCTGCTGCTCTCCCTTTTCCCTCTTTTTCTTAATCTGACAATAGAACAACAAGCAACTCAATGAAGTAATCCCCCGAGTGGTTGAGGAAACTGCAAAATTCCAAGTTAATAATTCACACGTAGGTGGTATGTGTACGCGTACTCGACACCGCAATTTCATGCCTTCCCGAGCGTAAAGCCTCTCTCTCTCTCTCTCTCTCTCTCTCTCTCTCTCTCTCTCTCTCTCTCTCTCTCTCTCTCTCTCTCTCTCTCTCTCTCTCTCTCTCTCTCTCTCTCTCTCTCTCTCTCTCTCTCGCGGCGGCACTGCAATACAAAGTCGAGACACGCGCCAGGCACTCGACAGCAGAGTAGACTCGCTGCTGTGCCTGTAGATTCTATTCTTCTGTCCCACTTTATTCATTTTGCCTCTCTCGGTTCCTTACGGCTCTTTCTCGGCTTCGCGAAATTCGATCTCTCTCTCGTGAAGAGTGTACGGGCGTCTTGGAAATCCAAGTGCTATGGAAAATTCATGCTACACTCGAGAAAGGAGTGAGGTAATTTGTGCGCCTGCAGTACACGAGTCGGATGTTGCTGTACTTGTATGTGTGCTTTTGTTTCACTGAGCTTTTCCGTCTGGAAGAATTATGCTAATTTGCACGTAATGCTCGCGCAGTCAACGTCCTCGAAGCAAAGCCACACACTGCTAATTAGTCATTCGTCGAGTACTCACGCGACGTGGCTGTTGATCGATACTTCAACCCTCGACCTTTTGCTGTCGTTCGAGCAGCGAAGCGATTCCTCGACTTTTCTGTCTGTTGCTCGTCGGAGTCGAGTGTGACTCACCATCGCACACGTACGTCTCTAGAAGGGAAGAGAGCGAGAGAGAGAGAGATCAATCGAGGGTGAACCAACAAAGCCTCTGTTTACGAGCGACTTGCGCGTCCATTTAAGCTCGTGCCTTGTTATTACAAAGTGAGAGTAATTGCCGGTGACGCCGAGCTCTCGCGCAAGCACCAGATTTTGCGTTTATACGCCAGCCATGCTGGCCCTGTCTGCCTCGTAAAAATTAGTTGGAGGCGGAGGTGAGGTGCAAATTGAATTTGCCGGCGAGCGAGAGGCCAGGCAGCCATGCCACTGCTTGCGAAGGGTTCTTGGATAATCTGTTCTCTGCTCGTGCGCCGGCTGCTGTCCAAGCACGAGGCATAAGCCACTCGCGCATGTCCATGCGACGGCATTGCCGATCTGGAATCTATAGAAAGTGACAATACAGCGTGCCTTTCTCGTTGCTTTTTTCAGGATGGTACGCATGATTGGCGACGAGTTCCTGACGGAGGAGCGCGACCGCAAGTATTACGCTGATCACTATACCTGCTGTCCACCGCCCCTCTTCATCATCCTCATCACTCTCGTCGAGGTGAGTACGATCTCGCATTGAGACTGCTTTTCAATAATTGTCGTGTCGATCCTCGCCCAATTCTGCTTACGTTATCGACCTTGTCTTCTCAACTGGTTCCTTCACACTTTATCGATTTCGTCAACGAGGTATCTTCTTCTTCAGCTGCATTCTACTGAACGTCGCGATGGTCTACGGCCGACTAAAGCGAATCAGTGGTCGATCGAAAAGCAGCGAATAACGCCGTGGTCCTGATCGTTAAAAAGAGTTACCGAGGGAACAGCAGCCGAGAGGCATCGAGTTGCACTAAATCTTTGACTGCACGGCCTGCTCGGAAGAAGAGGGTAACGGCAGCCGAAGTGTTCCGGCGCGGCTGTTGCTGCCGTTGCTGCAAACGAGCGACCGAGCCGTCGAAGCTTCTCTCGCTCTCTCTCTCTCTCTCTCTCTCTCTCTCTCTCTCTCTCTCTCTCTTCCTCCCTCATTAATTAAACTCCGCACTGCTCCGGCACAGTTAAAGTGGGACTTGGGCGAAGCTTTGGACCAGAGGTGTTTAATGTAGATGCAGCCTGCTCGCTCGCTGTCGAGTGGTGTTTGCGGGCCAAGAGACACCTTAATAAAGGATTCACGAGGCTGTGGCGCTGCGCTCTATAACAAACACACTTTGTCGACCTTTGTTACGGTCTCGTCTCGTCTCGTCGTTGGGAGAAAAAGGACCGATGGAATGCCTGGCCGTTGGAAGAGCATGCGAATACAAGGAGAGATTGGGCGAACGGAGCCCCTTAGCCGTGCGCTGGCCTGTAATTTTAAGCGCGTTACGCCTGCTCCTGGCTAACAAGAGCTGCAAGCTGCTCGATTGAAACCCATTAAAGCACTGCTCGCGAACGCTCCGTCGCGTTGTCGCTACCTCCGCTGCGTGCAGCCACCGCCGAGAAGAAAGCGACAACTTAACGCATGTTTGTTTCTTGCTCGTTAGGAAAAATCGCACGACGGAGCACTCTGCTGTCGAGTGCCTGCTGCATGTCTTTGCTGCAAAGTCCATTATTGCCAATTAGCGTCTCTGCTCTGCCCCACACGGTCGGCGATTGTCCCTCGTTCCTTCCTGCCCTGCCTGCCTTGCCTGCCCTGCAATTCAAGTGCTAAGTGCATTGAGCTTCGCTTTTATTAAAATTTGGCCGAGTCGGCCAACGCCCGATGCAAATTGCTTTTATACGAGGAATTAACCAAGAGATATTTTTTTCTGTCCTGCAAGCGCACTCTCGTTCATTCTGACGATTAAAATTCGGAAATCCGTTTACTCGTCCGATCAAATTTATATTATATATTTTCATTGACTTCACCTCGACCAATTACCGTCCAGCCGAATTTAAATCAACGACATAAATTTAGGTCCGAGGCGCGGCTAGGATGGCAATATAAAAGAGTAGTTAGAGTCCGTAAAAATTAACAATTATCCTGATCTAGAGCACAAGGGAGAAAGAGGGAGAAACAACGACGAATGATAATGACCAGGCGGGTTCTTTTAATAAAAATACCTGCCCACTCAGCCGCTAGCGAAAGCGAGAGAGAGAGAGAGAGAGAGAGGAAATAGCAGCTTTTATTTTATTGCCACTGTATAAACGCCAGCCGGACTAAATGATAATGTCGACTGGGATTTGGTAGAATTACATAAAGGTTTGTCGTGGTCAGCCGCATCGAAAATATCGCCAAGAATAAATCGACGCGACAAAGTCGTCATAGATTGTTCGCGGGCAAGAGCACGGCTAGGCGCGAATAGTCGGGGAGGCGAGCGAGTTTTCGCTCGTGCGTTAAAGCCGTCGTGTACTAGCTTAATTTGAAAGGCTGTAACGAGCCCGAGGTGGTGCACCCGTGCCAGCGCAGTTGCGGTCTGCAGAAAGCAAAAAGACATTTGGCTGTTTTCAATTGGACGTACACAGCGAGCATCGAGAGCGCAAGTTTCATCTGGCGCGCGAGCTTCTTCGCGGCAGATATCATAAAGCACGTGGCGCTCGCACGCCAAAGGGGCTTTCCCGGCAAGAGACACAAAGATATAGACCGAATCCGGTAATCTTGCGCGTGGAACACGGCTTGATTCCCTGCTAAACCGGCATGTGTCGTTCGTTTTCCGCACTGCACATTTCACAGGTGCTTTTTAACATGCCCGTCGTCTGAAATTGGCTCAAGCTCCTACACATTTCTCGCCGATCGATAATCCAGCGACTCCCTACTTGGTTGCAGGTTGCAGTCGGCATTACATCGCTCGCCGAGGCTGACAAAACCTTTGTTTGCTCCCTTAACTTTTTTCAGCGAGTCGTATCGATTGGCTCTCTCGCCCTTTCTTATTCGATTCGCGCTCGCCTATTCTATCGCGCCAGTGCGATTCGGTGAGAAGCTTTGCAAGAACGAAACGACGATGACCGCCAACGATCGATTGAAATTCACTCGTGCGATGCAGATCGGGCCCGTTGGCAAGCAGCGTTGGCAAGCAGCGTTGGCCGTGCAGCAGTGATGAACGTAAAAGTGAAGAGGCACCGACAAGAAGAGGAGCTCTGCGCGACTGGGAACGGCGCACAAATCCGAACGCGGCGTTCCAGACAATCAATTAACGCAGATACGAGTCTAGGCTCAGGCCACTGGTGGCATTCCAACAGCGAGGCGCCATCCGCTGCGGGCGGCGGCAGCTCTGCCAAATAAAGATAACCCCTCCCGGCCTGCGGCGCGGCGGGCCAAAATTAGACGACGCGTTAGCCGGCGCGCTTTCCCGTTTGCTATCTTCGATCGCGCTCTTGCTCGGGACCGAGGTGGGTGGCCACAGTTGTGCCCAGAGCTCTCGTGCTCGACGCGCTCGGCAAAGGGCAAAGCGGGCGGCAACTACTCCTCCCGTCCACTCGAGTGCGCCTCGAATCCTCCCTCGGCCGAGAGCAGGGGCCCGCTGCTATGGCGATGCCTGCCGACGAAACAATTGCAGTGGGCTCCCCCGACGCACCCGCGGCGCGTCAGGTTGTTTACGAGCGCTTAGCGGCACGCGATCCACTCCCTCCTCCTCGGCGCCGCGTTGGACCCTGTGTCGCAACGTCCGGACGACGAGGGCCCCGGCAGACAACTTGCACTGGCCCATTGAGCTTGAAAAATGTCGAAAAGCCGGTCGCGCGCGCGTCGGTTGGCCCTCGCTCGCTCGCTCGCTCGCTTCGTTCAGGTGTACACGTGCGGCGGGGGCCAGCCAGCTAGCAGCTAGCTCTCGCCATGCGTGACGCGTTCGCGTGCGTTGTCCTACCTAGCCTCCCTCGCCTCCCTCGCCTCCCTCGCCTCCCTCGCCGCCGCGGCTGCACCCTTCTTTGTTTTCGCTCGACGACCCCACGCGAGCTGCCGGTGGAAAAACCAAACGCTCGCCACGAATATTATATGTTTAGCGGGCTCTCCCGTTCCTTATGTTTGCTTTTGTTTGCCAGCACTCGATTGACGCTCGACTTTCATTAAGCTCGAGCGATCCTTGCGAACTTTTGCAGCATGTCTTTGTTTCATGGACGAGCGGTTTCTTCGTTGCAACCATCAAAAATAAGCGTCGGATATTTGTACTGGCAATATAATTTGCGGGCGTGCTGGCAGTGCTATACATGTACATTTTATTGGCTCGGCAGAGCAAAAAGGAAAATAACGCAAACTTCACGTTTTTATGATCGAGCAAAAGTATCGAAAATATTGAATTTGGCCAAGTTTCAAGAGCAAACTTTGCTGATGAATTGAAAGTGCGCCGCGAGCGAAGGAGCGACGGCTCATCCTCTTACCGCTTCTTTGTTATCGACCCTGGCGAATAAAGCGAGAATCGATGGAGCGCTATTTTCCCTCTCGCCCCCTCTCTTGCCCTTTGCAAGCCTCGTTGCCGATATTTCAGTCTCATAACCGTAAACTTGCTTTGCGCTTCGAGAGCGCTCAGCTGCTGCGCGGAGCTGGCCAGGCGTCAATCAAAGTGTCGCGGTTTCCCGGGACGAGGAACAATCTTGTCCGCCGTCGCTTCGACGCGCGCGTTTGCGCGAAGGCGACTGGGCCTTCGAAGGGCAGCACTTTCGCAGTTGGTTTTTTCGACAGCAGCGGCTGCACCACCGAGTCAAAGTCAAAGCCAATAATTAGCTCGGCCGTCCGATTGTCAGCAGGCTCTTCGTCGTTTGGTTGGCTTCCGTCGCTTTGGCGTTCGGCTGCCGCTGCTGCCCCCCTCGAGGCGCCCGTGCCGCACCAGTGCACACGCCGGGTGTCATCGGCCTGCTCGCCGCGCGCACGCACGACGCCCCCTGCATTGCCACGTCGTTGCACCGACCTCTTCGCTCTCAAAATTATGCAAAGCATCGGCCACTCTGGAGCGTCTGGACGCCTCGGGCTTTGTTCTTGTCAACGTCCGTGCGACGGCTTTCCAGCGCCTCCAGGCTGGCGGGCAGCTTTCGGCATCCTTGTAATCCGCACTCGACTCGATCGGAAGCTCTGATCGAGAACCGGCGCGTTCGATCCACGCAGTCCCGTAGAGTTAGAAACGAGCAGTGAGTGCATCGAACCACGCGCACCTGCCCATTGTTGCCGGTGAAAGCTAAACAGGCAACATGTGGCAACGTCAACTCCCTTCTTCTGCTTCTTTCACGCCCACGGTACACCGTTATAACGCCACTTGGGTAAACGCGCGCAGAGCGTTGGGATTAGACCGTATGCGCGCCACCATTATCATCGTGTTGACTCATACCCGTCGACGCCGCCGCCGCCGCCGCCGCCGCCGCCGCCGCCGCATGCTAGTCCCTGTTTCACTCCATCTTCGTCCGAATCGACAATCGTCTTTTTTCGACAATTGACGTCCAATGCAGCCGCCGACATCTCTCCGTGCCGCCAAACCGATATGCTCTCTCTCAACGCTTTCTCGGCAAATACGTTAAATTTCAGAGGCCTCGCGCTCTCGTGAGAGCAAGGTGTTACGGTCACGCGCGATTTGCGCCAAGTGCCAAAATAAGGAGCGCTGGCTGGGCTCCAATTTGAGCAGCCTCAAC